AATGAAATTACAGCAAGGTCACTGTGACTACAGTGAATGTTTGACTTCAAAATATACTCAAATTAGAGGATACAACTCAATTAGGGTCCCTTGTTCATGAACAAAACAAACTACTCAAGGAGATCATCAACTTACACATGTATAGGGTCCCTTGTTCATGAACAAAACAAACTACTCAAGGAGATCATCAACTTACACATGTATAGGGTTCTTTTGAAAATTCTGCAACACTCAAAATTACAAAATAAAATTGTACATCAATAAACTCCATAAAACTCAACACGACATAATCTCCAACATAACAACATACATATACTCAAATATGCAATGCATCATGACCACGAGAAGCTGATCGGAGGTCTCGGGTGCCTGATTTACTGTCTTGGGTCTTAGCTATGTGCCATTGGGTGGCATGTGATGGCATAACTCAAAATCCGGTCAAATTCATGATCTCAAGAGTGGGAAGGCATGCATCTATTGATATACACTTAACACATGGAAGGATTTACAAATATCTAAAAATCAAATCAAGTGGGAAAATCGTAAGATGGGGCTCTTAAAACACAAAACTAGTTCAATTGAGTTCACAAATCGAGCCACATGAATTCGGCATAGTGTCCTCTTAACTCTTAAAACATGGAAGGATTTGCAAATATCTAAAAATCAAATCAAGTGGTAAAATCGTAGGAAGGGGCTCTTAAAACACAAAACCAGTTAAATTGAGTTTACAAATTGAGCCACACAAATTCGACATAGTGTCCTCTTATGAAATCAACAATTCAATGAATCAAAACGATGATCTAATTGACTAATTTGGTCATGAAAAATTTAGAGAAATATCAGTAAAAAATACTCAAAAAATCAAAGGGAAAGGCTCTTGGAAACTTGATCAAATTATGCATGGATGATGCCTTCAACTATATGGATTTAGAGGGCTCAAAGTAGATTCAAGCTCAAAGTAGATTCAAGCTCAAATTAGATTCAAAAGATCAATGGTCTAATCATTAAAGGATGAAGATAATTTGTTGCAATTGAGAATTTGCAGCAAGAAGAATCAATAAGAATCAAAGAAAATGGAAGAGATCGTTCTCAATTGTTGGAAGAGATCTTACTCAATTGTTGGGGGCTTCAAGACTAGATCATCAATGATTTGAATTCGATCTTTGAATCACCATTAATGGAGTAGTGAAGGAGCTTCAATGGAGCTTGCTCTCACCTTTACATGAAGGCAATTTTCTCGTGAGAGAAAGAAGAGAACTGACTTGGGCGTGCCACTCTATGAGTGAAGAGAGAGAGAGAGTGGCATGCCACTTAGAGAGAGAGTAGATGTGAACTCATATGAAACGTGAAGGCTCAAAGGTGTATTTATATGCTTATTATCCAATGGCTATAAAGAGAAGCTTAATCCTAGCCCGCCATCCGCCATCATGCCATCAAGTTGTATGGATTTGAATACCTTGATCTTCCTTTAATTCATTTCAATTCCCTTGTTATTGAAATACCCATGCTCGTTACATTTAATTAAACCAAAAACCAAGATGGAGGGTACACCCTTATAGTAATTTGATAAAATTTCAGCAAAAAGCAAATCTCAAAAGTTATCTGCATTTTATTAGAGCATGTGGGGCTAATGAAATCATGCCACATAAGCTAGGTGGTTAATTGCACATTTACCATATACCCTTAGGGTTAGACTTCAAATTACAAACCCTATACCCATTCTAGAAACCTCCATACATGTGCACAAACCCCTTGCTTTAAGCTTTAAACATGTATTAAAATAACTTTTCCAAAATCACAATATTCCATAAAATTCTAAAATTCGATGGCCTTCACTTAATCAATCAAAATGCAAACGGACATGAAGGTCCCTTTGGGGGAATGATGTCACCCCACGTCATCCTCCATGTGGGGTGACATGGGACCCCCTAAACCTCCACGTGGACACTCATTGTCCATTTGGGTATCCCCTATGGGTTTCGGGGGACTGTCCTTATTTGTCATTTCTTGTAAACAATTCTGAAAATTTATTTTCTTGTTCTTCTGAAAAAATATTCAAAAACCCACAAAAATGATTTTCATGATTTTCCCTCAAAATAAATCGTTTTGACATTGTTTAAAAAAAATTACAATGAAAATTAGGATCCTTGGAGGTTGAATTATGTATCGGTGCACTCCACTTGGTTAGACCTGGAATCCATAGCTTGTATCCCTGCACGCACGACACAAGGTGGATCACCTCATCAAGTTGGTGCATGGTTCATAGCCCCTGGCCAAGAAACCCTATCGAATGGCCCTTTTGAGTTGGAGAAACTTAGATTGCAGTTGGATGAGCTACTTAGTGTAGGCTTGATTGAGCCCTCCGAGTCTCCCTATGGTGCGCCGGTGCTATTTCAAAGAAAGTCAGATGACACGTTGCGCATGTGCGTGGACTACCACGCCCTCAACAAGCTAACCATCAAGAACCAGAATCCCTTGCTATGATCAGAGACTTGTTTGATCGGCTTGCCAAGGCCAGGGTCTTCAGCAAGTGCGACCTACGCTCAGGCTACTGACAGGTTCGTATAGCGGAGGGAGGGAGGTGTAGAGAAAACTATGTCTGACTTGTTACGAGTCTTTTGAGTTCCTTGTAATGCCGTCTGGGCTAACCAATGCCCTGGTAACCTTTTGTCGCTTAATGAACAATGTATTAAGTGAGTATGTCGACATGTTTGTCATGATGTAGTTAGATGACATTGTTGTGTACAGACAAACCTTAGATGCTCCTGTCAAGCATCTAAGCCAGATGCTAGAGAGGCTAAGGGCCAACCAACTGGATGTAAAATTTGAGAAGTGTACTTTTGCCAAAAAGGAGATTATGTTCCTCGGGCACAAGGTGGGTAGAGGGCAGATTGAGCTGGATGATCAAAAGGTGCGAGCCATCTTAGACTAGCTGCCGCCTAAGGACATCCACGAGCTACTCTCCTTCTTAGGGCTAGCTAACTATTACCGGCAGTTCATTGAGGGTTACTCCAAAGGATCGTGGCTCTGACTAGCTTTCTAAGGAAGGGTGTCAAGTGGGAGTGGATGGTGGGCTGTGAGCAGTCCTTTCAAGAGTAAAGAGGGCGATAACCGGCAAGCCGGTGTTGCACCTCCCTGACTTTGATAAGCTCTTTGAGGTGCAGACCGATGCCTCAAATCATGCGATCGGTGGGGTTCTCATGCAGGACAGCTACCCTATGGACTTCGAAAGCCAAAAGCTCAAAGAGACTAAGCAGCAGTACTCAGTCCATGAGAAGGAGATGTCAACGGCGGTACACTGGTATGGAGACATTACCTGCTGAGGAGTAGGTTCATGGTGCTTGCTGACAATGTGGCCACAAACTATTTCACCACATAGAAGAAGCTGACTCATACCCAAGTTCGATGGCAATAAGTTTTGGCGAAGTTCGACTATACCCTGGAATACAAGCTAGGGAATGCCAATGTAGTGGTTGATGCGTTAGCTCGAAAGCCAGACTGTTTCATGGCGATTGCACCTGTTGCTCAGATTGAGGGGGACCTCTTGGATCGAATCTGTGAGCTCGAGAGAGATCCCATGACCCAAAAGTTGGTATAGAAAGTCCACGAGGGACATACCAGACTGTTTTGGCTAGAGGGGGGCATCGTCTATGCCACAGGAAGGCACAACTATGTGCCCAGTGCCTGTGGCTCAGGAAGGAACTACTGATGAAATTCCATGATATACCGGCATCTGGCCCTCCTGCTTAAGAGTCGACCTTAGGCCTCTGGTCTCTTAGTTTATATTGGCGCTAGATGGAGTAGGAGGTCGAACACTATGTGAAGACCTGCCTAGTATGCCAACAAGACAGGACTGACCGACAGAGGCCAACTGGTCTACTCGAGCCCCTACTCATTCCTAAAGCTCCATGATTAAGCCTGTCCATGGACTACATAAATAGCTTGCCCAAGGTCCATGGGATAAGCCAAATCATGGTCGTGGTGGACCGGTTCTCGAAGTGCACCACCTTCAATGCAGCCCCTGACCACTATAGTGCGGAGATTATGTCAAAACTGTTCCGCACCATGTGGTGAAGTGGTGGGGTGTCCCAAAGGATATTGTGAGTGACCGCGATGCTCGTTTGACAAGAAGGTTTTGGTAGCAGTTGTTCGAGCTGAGGGGGATGAAGCTAAATTTCTCCACCAGCAATCACCCTTAGATGAATGGCCAAATTGAGGTTGAATGCAATCCTAGAAGAGTACCTCCGACACTATGTAACGGCGAACCAGCATAACTGGATCAGTCTGTTTGACTAGGGCTCAGTTTTGCAATAACTTGCATCGAAGCTCTTCAACAAGGAAGAGTGCTTTTGAGCTAGCCACGAGCCGACAACCCTTAGCGCCACATGATGTGGCCATGCAGTAGGGCTAGTCCCGGTGCTCAGCAACATTGCGATTGGCTAAGACGAGGGTCGAACAATTGGAAGAGGCTCATGACTGCCTTGACTAGGCGATGAGACTCATGAAAAAAGTATGTCGATATAGGACGGCAGCCCCCCGAGTTCCAAGTTGGGTCTGGGCGATGCTCAAGCTCACTCCCCTCGATCACATCATGGCCATATAAATGCATTTTATGTGAGCTGTCTACAATTTGCTTCATCCCACTGTTATGAACTTTAAAAGTTTATCTCTCTCTCTCTCTCTTCTCTCTCTCTCTCTCTCTCTCTCTCATTTTGAGCCTAATTAAGTGTGATTAGTGTGCATAACCTTCACTTTATGTGAGTGAAATTAGCTCTTGTGATTTGAGCCATATGTGTTATCATCTATGAGACAAAATTAAGTCCCTAAACTATTTGCTTGCATGATCTAAGCACTAAGGGTTTGAGCTTTGGCTTCCCTTCCATATTTTGCACTTATTTATCTTAGGAATGATGAAGTTAGCAAGGAGGATTTTGGAAAATCCATCATCTTTGTTGGTACGGTTCTTCAAACATCGATATTTTATAAATTCTTCTGTATAGGATGCTGAAGGAAGGAGGACGTTCTCATGCATGGAAGGGGATTTTACTTGGCTTACACTTGAAAGACAATGTACAATGGAATATTGGTAATGGTCAGATGGTAGATTTCTGGGTGGATTCATGGTTAGCAGGTCAGTTTCACTTTCAGATTTGCATGGTAATGGCATTGAGGAGGATTTGGGGGATGTTGGAGGGATGAGGGTTTCAGACTTTATAGGAGGTGCACTTCAGTCTTGGGTTTTGCCACCTCCCACATTTGTTTTTTTGAGATATATATGGAGGGAGGTTGAGAATTATACTCTTCCTCTACAACCCAAAAAGGATTCACTGGTCTGGATTCACTCTGTTGATGACCTATTTTCTATTAAAGGGGCATGAGATTTTATTAGGCATTAAGGTTCATTATTGCCTATTTTTCGTGCACTTTGGTCTTCTAAATGCCACCCACAGGCGAAATTGTTCTCATGGTTGGACTTGCATAATCGACTGCCCACCTCATTTTTATTGCAGCAGCGGGGCATGCAGTTGGACTCTTTATGTCCCTTTTGTAGCAACCATGATGACATCCTTTTCCATCTATTATTCCAATGTGCTTTTGCGCATGGTGTATGGAGATCATTAGCTTGGAGATGTGGAAAACGGTTTGTCCTCAGTACTTCTGGCGCTGATTTACTTATGTGGTGGTAACGTTTTAAGTTTAAATCGCATGGATTTCGTAATATTTGGTCTTCATGATAACATCTAAAGCTAATGCAGGTACAATTCCTCATTCATGGATAGACACTTAGCCCCTGCAAAGCAATCTTTGATGCAGCAGCCTTTCAGAACGCTTGCAACAAACACCTCTCTATTTCAAGGGTCCAAGAGCGGGATTGAGGCGCTCGGAATCCTCTTAATTTCCTGCAACTAGGAGCAAGTCATGCAGGCACTTGACGCCGCCCCATTGACCATTACCTAGAGCAAGTCATGAAGACACTCGGCATGTTCAATCTCGGTACCCCATGAGCAATTCTCAATGAGACACTCGACCTACTCACAATGTGGTGATGGCATGCAAGTCATCAAGACATTCGACGCATTTGTTAGGGGGGCGTTTTCAGTCACTCGTTTTTCTAATAATCCACTTGACACCATTAATGGCCAAATCAGTCTTCTCTGAGCATTAGCTGGGTGGGTGGCAGAATTAGAAGCAATAGGTGGATTATTTTAGAAGTGAGCAGCTGAATATGTTCCCTTTGTTTATAATGGATATATAGAAGTCACTGCGTACATGAGTACCTACAAGGAACCAAACACATTGAACACTATAAACATACACAGACGCATGCATGTATACATTAATTAAAAAAAATTGCATGCATGTACACACCCACATGCACCCTATGATTTATTAGTTTCTTATTTATTGCTTGTGCCTTAAAATGTTTGTAAACTCTCTCTCCCTTCCTCTCTCTCTCAATAGTCTCAGAGACCCATCTACAGTTCACACATACGTAAATTTACTTATATAATTCCCAGTTTTTGTGTATGCACACGTGTGCATGTGTTTTGAGAGTTTCTATGATTTCTTATTTTTTGCTTATGCGCAGGCCTTTGAACACCTTTTAGAATGTGAGTTGGTAGGTTTTACAGATAACAACAGAGGACAAAGTCTGTCTATTGAATTCCGTGCAGTGGTGCTACTCATATCATCTCATGAGCTCTATCAGGGATTGAGATCAAGTCGTAACTGTCCTGTAAGTTGCAATCAAATCAATCATATTTGTTGATTTATTTATTGGATAACTATATTGAATGGTTGCATCTCTTATGAGTATCACAAGTAATCAAAAGCTGAACGACATACTTAAGTCTTAAATTTCCTCACTTAAATCGCTACGATTTAAAATAATTTGCATTTCTTTACTTTTTATGACCCTTAACTAGTGATTTGTCTTTTTTTTCTTTCAGGATATTCTCCTGCAATGGTTTGACCGAGAGAATCCTAAATCACATGCATACTGAGTGTTAGTTTGTACAATTCATTGCATAAGTGTAGTTTTGAGTTTTCATAAGGAAATTTTAGATCAGTATTTACAAGTACATTGTTTGACATCATGTTAAGTACATTTCAGAAAGCACCATAAAAAGATGTACAATTGCATTCAAGTATTTCTGCTCATTTTTCCGAGAGAGAGAGAGATTAGAATTGATGATGTGATGAAGCCTTCGAATGGAAAAAACGTTTCTCTACTTCAGAAAAGGATTTATAAAATAACCGAGATCTACATTTTTTGGAATAACTACTACAAAGTCCTCGTATGGGAGGAATTTTACGGGATAACTTTAGAGGTTTAGTTTAGCTGAGATAGAGCTAGCTGAAATAGGGTTGTACTTGTCTTGTAATTACTTTAACGGATGTTTATCCAATGTGTGTGCATGATGAATTAATACCCTCTTGGGGAAGAAGAATGGAAGACAAGGGGGAAGATGACGGTGATGCTTATCCTGTACTTATTGCGGGGATTGGCGTTCTTAGGGAGATCTTAAAAGTGTACTTCAGCTATGGTGGTAGGCTCACTCCAATGACATTTTTGGCCTCAGTGGCTGGGCGAGAATAGGTACGGGAGAATAGAATGATCTTTATTCTTAAGCTAGTAGAGTGATTGGTCAAGGACATTGGAGAGGTAGAGATATACTGTTGACTCTTGATCTGTAGAAACTGAACTTTCATGTTTCCTTCATTCCGAAGGAGTCCGTTTGGCTTACATTATGAGGTATTCTCTTTCATGGTTAAAATCTCTTGGGGTTTCCCAAAGCGTTGTAAATTAGAGTCAAGAATATATGTGGATATTGATGGGAAGTCTGTGGTGGGACCAAATCCAACTTTTGTTAGAGTCAAAGTGAGAAGAAACCTCGGTCACCTTTGCCCAATAAGATCGGACTGAAAGTTGGGGTGGATGATTTTTTAATCAACATCACTAGGAAGGGGGGCCGACCAATATAGATCCTTCTATTAATAGCCAGTGTGAAAATACCAAGACTGATGGAGATGATAACGGTTGGATTGAGGTGTGGGGTAAGTGAAGAACATTGAGATCTGGTCTCTATCCGAGGTGCTTTAGTAGCGCCATGGCTTCTAAAACCTCTGCAAGCTCACATGTAAATTCTCGGGCAAAGACAGACATGTACTCCAATGGGGAAAGGTTTTTCTTCAAGGTCAGATTTTCTAAATCTTTGTTTTAAATTCAAAAAAATACCGCAGGTCGGATATTTAATTTAATTCTTGGAGCTTTCTAATCTTCTTTTGCGGAGTCTAATAAGGTGAATTTTAAAGGGAATTCTTTGGCAGTTGTTGATGGGGGTTGATTGTGATTTCAAATTGGGATTTATTGACTGTGACAAGGGTAATCCAGGTAATATAGGGAACCCTATTAGAAAGGCCTAAGAGGGTGGTGGTGAGTCGGGAAATTTTTCTGAAGACTAATGTGCAAAATATGTGGGGACAGTGGCTCTTTTTCTTTTTCCTTAGTGGGAAAGAGATGGGGAGTGATGTTCTGCATGGGGGTTTTGGGGGTTAATGGAAAAGTATTGGAAAGGGCTGCGGGTGTTTTAGAAGGGAATAAAAGGATAGATGTTATCCCTTCTAAATATGGAGAACTTGTAAACATTGAGGCAGGTTCTGTAGAAGGTGATTTAACGTTTTTTGAAGACTTGGCGTTCATATTTGGAAAGGTTCTTTTGTCCTTCGACAAGAAGGCCATCTCTATTATTGTTGACTCTTTCATCCAAAATGCCAGAGGGGTCTCTAAGTTTGCATTTGGCTGCAAAAAAAAAGGCAGATGATCTAGAGGGTTCCTTCCAATGGTTAGGGGCCAACTGTTGTGGATTTGGATCCAGATAAAGGTGAGGATTGTGAGATAGGACTTTAGAACCAAGAAGGTGGGTTTTACGACGCAGCATCTGATTTTTCATGATGGTTAAGATGGAATTAAATGCAATATTCGTTCCTCTTATAACTATGATGCTGGAAAATTGCTTTCAAGGGGAGCCTATTTATACACCTAACTAGTCAAGATGACATTGAATAGTGGGCTTATATCAATATGTTTGACGATATGTGAGTTTCTTTTGATGAGCCCTTAATCAAAGTGATGAACAATATTAAACAAAATTTACATAAGGATAAGGAGGAAATTTCAGGTAATGGTGGTGAAGATCCATCAAGCCTTAAAGGGAAAGAAAAGGCAGAGGCAACCAAAAATAAGGGGAAAGCCAAAGTTCGTGTGCAGTCCACTCGGTCTTCTTCTAGAGTGGCAGCTTGAAGGGCCAACAAAAGGGGAAGTACTGTAATCATCAATGATGATAGCTAATGAGATTTTTGATGAGGACTCCAGTTCCATGTCTGTCATAGAAGAGGGAACCGTCAGGCTTTGTTCAATATCAAGAATCAATGAAAGTTATGAGTTAGAATGTTCCGGGTCTAAGGGACGTGAGGAGGAAGGAGGTTTGATTGTTAGTGCAAGTATACACCAGATGTTTTGTTGTTACAAGAAACTAAGCTACCTAGCCTTGTGGTTATGGAGGCTAGGGAAGTTTGGGGTCCTAATTTTGTTAGCTTTATTGGTATAGGTGTTATGGGTGCTTCAGGGGGGATGTAGATTTTGTGGGATCCACAATTTTGTACTATTTGCATGTCTTAAACGGGGAGAGATTGGTTTTTGTGGTTTATGGAGGTTCTCTAACTAGTTTTAGATGGGGTCATGATGAATGTGTATGGGCCTACTGCTCAGTCTCTCAAAGGTGAATTTTTGAATGAAGTGTCAGTTATTTTTATCTCAATTTACCGTAGTGTGTGGGAGGCGACGTTAGTTTAATTTGATGGCCAAATGAATCATCTTCCAATATTCCTTTTAATTCCACTATCAGACTGTTTGATTTTGTTCTACATCATGGTTTGTTGATTCTCCCCATTGGTGGAATAGACTTGGGGAATAGCTTTCCCTTGGTTTCTGTTAATGCACTACCTAAATTATCTTCTAACCATGTTCCCAATTGTTTGCAAACTAATACAGAAAGTATGGGACCAAGGCCTTTCAGATTGGATGTTGGGTGGTTCGAAGAAGTTGCGAACTTGATTAACAAACTTGGGCTAATACTGTTAATTTTGGATGGTGTGATTTTAACCTTCACGGGAAACTTCTTAGTGTATGCCCTTCCAAAGAGTGTTGAGTTTAAAAAATTGGAATGTTTAAATTTGCTGCATGGTCACCTTAAGATGAAAGAAATTTATTGGAAGTAGAGGTCAAGGATTTAAGTAGTAATTTTTTTAATTCTATTGCAAGTGTAAGGAGACGACATAATGATATTTTTGGACTGCTTCTTAATGGTATTGAAGAAGGTAATCAAGTAGGATGGGAGGATGAAATTCTCAATTATTTTCAAAGAGCATTTTCATGCGAGCATCATTTTGGTGTTAAGATGAATAGAGTCCCTTTTAGGAAGTTATCAGTTCAGCATGCCATAATTTTGGAGACAGATGTTACTGAGGGGCTTAAGTGAGCAATTATCTATTTACTTGGTGATAAGTGCTCATGACTTAATGGTACGTTTCGTTCTTGCATAAATATTTCTTGGGGAATATTTATATATATAAATTACATTTCACACCTTTGGTTCGTTTCAAATGCATATGCAAATATTTTACCATAGAAAAATATTTTACCATGAAAAGCCCAATACATGGTAAAATGAAACCAGACCTCATGAGGTGTGGAAATATTTCGCAAATCCGAAAGCCCTATGACCTTTGTCTCTCTCTCTCTAAAAAGCCCCATCGCAGGGAAACCAGAGCCCTCTCTCTCCCCAGGACCCTCGTCTCTTTTTCTCTCTCTAAAAGCCCCATCCCTCTGAGAAAACCAGAGCCCTCTCTCTCTCTCCTGTGGCCCTCTGTCTCTCTCTCTCTCCATCTAAAAGCCCCATCCCCCTACGAAAGA